TGCCTGGGATGTCAAGCCAGAGTTTGGCATGATGTTTGAATAACATCTGTGTCCTCCTGGATGGTGTAATCCCTTGGGTACTCCTAGTACAGCTTTCTTTTGTTGCTGTCAGACTCCTCATAGTGCTTAGATGGGTGGTGCTCCCAGTTGAGAGAGATCTGTTCTAAATTACATTTTATTTCTATAGTGCATCTGTTTACACATGGACAGATTCCTGTCTCAGGGGGCTTTCTGTCTAAGAATAGACACAAGGGAGCAGGAGAGGAAGGGGAAGGTTATAGAAGTGGCGTAAGAAAGGAGGAGAAGATGTGAATGTTATTTTAATTATACATACTTGGGCTTAATTACAACAGGGCATTGGGACAAGGGGGTTGTTCCAAAACCTTTCCCAGCTTTCATTTGGCAGATGATAGATCTCCATCCTATTAGCCATCTAAGTAACTCTTTAAGAGGTAGCATCACCCAGTTCATGCTGTGCTAGAGCAGGGGTCGGCAAGGCTTACCGGACATGGGCTGGATCACTCCCGCAAAGATCCTCTGTGGGCCGGACCAGCACAGCCCTACTCCGGAAAGCGCGTCTGTGCATGTCTGTGGCTCTGGAAATTGCTTTTGTGCGTGCCCAGACGCCGAAAACCGTGCCTGCGGACATGCACAGACGTGATTTCTGGTGTCTGGGCATGCGCAGAAGCGATTTCCAGAACCGCGGAAGAGAGTGCGTGGGGACTCACCAAGCAAGTGGCTCAGTTCGGGGGTGGCTCATGGGCCGATTAAGGAACCCTCATGGGCTGCAGGTTGCTGACCTCTGTGCTAGAGCTTCAAAGATGTGCTGGCTTTAAAGACCCTACCTGCTGTTCCTGGAAGGAAAGGGAGAGCTGTCGCAATGGAACAAAGAGTTCTGAGACATTGTTCAGACATGGCTCAACTAACACCTGAGTGTAGCCACTAAGGCAGCAGTCAAGAGAAGCTGAGGAGTTTGGATGCTTTTGCTTGTTTCACAATGGTAGTGGTGTGAGCATCTCACAGTTCTGTCTTGATAGCATCTCCTGCTGGGGTCCTTATGAACAGCAGCTGCCCAGATTGCTTCTCAGCCCAGCCCAGTGCCTTGCAGATTGCAGGCATCTTGTACTTCTGCTGCAACTGGGAAGCAACTTTGTGGAACCAAAGACCACAGGCTTGAAAATAACCTACAGAGAAAGGTCATCGAGTTTTAAAGAAGTTAGAGAGCAGCCGCAGGCTTGCAATATGAACTATTCATGCCCAAATTCCAGACAGCACAGTCAACCCTGGTTCATGAGTTTTGTGGACCAGGACCTAGCGCTTCAGTGGTGTTTAAAAGTACCAATCCTGGGTGTATCACTGAATAGTGTTGGAAATCCTGGAAGCCAAGACCCAAGGTTGGGGCAAGTACTCTTTGGTGAGGAAAACCCCAGCAGAGATTTAAAATGGCACAACACGCAGCAAAGGAAAAATGTGGAAATAAAGGCTGTAAAACCTTCAGAATGTGCCCTTTCCGTTGAATCACAAAATATCTCACTTCCCTAACACAAAGATAGGCCACACATTCAGTAAGTCAGTCTTCAAGGTTTCGTTAGGCCCAGGCTGCGGGAGGCATCTTAAGGTCAGATTTAATATAGCATTGCACGTGCTGTTCCACTGCAACTGCCTAAAGGCTAGGCTGATAGAAAGCAGAGCGAAGTAGAAGCAGCGGCCTAGGGAAGGAATGTGCAAGGGGATGAATGGGCAAGGCCCAGAGGAACGAGAAGAATAGGCTCAGCTGAAGGAAGGTTCACATGCCCAGGAACTGCAGAGGAGGTGAGGAATTGCTTGTTGATTCCGTATAATGATCCAAGTCTTCAGCTGCAAGTTCTCTCTTCCCACCCCCACCCCAAAAAGTGCTGTACGGTTTGAATTAAATCTTGATGGCACCGCAAGTTGGTACATGAGGACGTAATGATGTATGTACTGGAGGATACTGAGCTCTCACCCCAGAACTCACTGCTATTCTTTAGCTTGATTCTCTCCACCCCACCACTTTTCTTCTGCGTGGCTAATATGTAAAGCATTTAGAATGAAAAAGTCTGTGTGGTGTGTTTTTTTTAATTGCAGCTAGCTAGGATGCAGTGCCAAGTTGGAATGGCTGCAGCAGCATGCACCCTATTAATTATTAAGGCAGGTAAATATTGAGTAGGAGTGCCCATTTGGCTTGATGAATAGGGAAGAGGCTTGCACCGTGGAAAAGAAATGATTTTATTGTCAAGAGTCGTTTGTATCACTTCTTGCAATGGGATCCATTTCCCTGCAGGAGAAGCAACTGGTGGATGAATGACAGGGCTGCGTCCACACTTAAAACTAAAATGGCATGCTCAAGCCTTTCGAAATCTCAAGCGCTCCATGTACTGCAGTAGGGTAAGCCAAATCCCCAAACCTGCACAATACCTTTAAAACCGATTTGAATAATTAATTCTGCTTCACTAATTATAGTGAGGAAAAAGAGACACATTCCCAGCTACAGGGCATCTGTTTTGAACAGCCACTGACTCTGCATTTACCATAAGGGCTAGTAATATATATATAGTGTGTGTGTGTGTGTGTGTGTGCGCGCGCACACACACACACACACACACACGTGTCTGTCAGGTGAATTTGCAATTCTGTATTCTGTTGTCTCTGCATTTTGATTGCTCTGGGGAGATAATCTAGTAGCCACTCTATACCTCCTTATGTTTGCGTGTTGTTGCCTTTCCAATAGAACATTTCCTTCATATTGTAGAATCAAAAAACAAGCTCTTTGCAACATAGGAAGCTGCGTTATATCAGATTCATGGTGCATTTACCCCTACTCTGAACTGATAGCAGCTTTCCAGGGCATTTGCCTGTGAAGGGTCTTTCTCACAAACTGTGACTTGATCATTGTGACTGGAGATGCTGGAGATTGAACCTTCTGCGTGTAAGGAATGTACTGTGTTGCTGAGCTTCTCCCCCTACTTGCTGTTGCAGCCTTGCATTATTGAAAGATTCTGAGGTTCACATTTGAATGGGGTGATTGGGGGGTGAGGAATGTCCTTTGTGCCAGCACCAAAGTTTAGCTGCTTCCTTTTCCATTAAACTCAGGAAGAGAAAACATTTCAAATTCAGAACTGCAGGCACCAGACTCCTAGGTTCATGGAGCTATTCCACCCTGACTGCAAAACAACCCCCACCCCACCTTTTCTTGCTTCTTTTGTGTATAGCGCACTCTCTCTCTATATATATATAAATATATATATCGGAGCAGACATTCAGATGCTAGCATTGGAACCGGCCTCCTGGAAACAGACCAAGTTCAGTCAGGAGGCTTGATCTTCTGGCTGGCAACAGATGAGGGAGCTGGGTGTACAGATTAGAATTTGTCCCCGGGACTTGAAATCTTTCTATTGTGGTTGCAGACAGTCTTGTGAGAGCTGAATACAGAACACATGAACCTGGCAGCCTGGCGCTGCCATTTCCTCACCCCCAGGGGACGGGCAGGGGAAAGAGAGAATCTATTCCTCTTGACACAGCATTTGAAGAGCCTGATAAATAACTCCAAATCTACCCCCACTAACAATATTTATGAAGCTTCAATTTTTAATTTGTTGTAAGAGCCTCACTCTGGGAATGGGGGAAGCATTCTTGTGCAGCACCACGCAGCTCAGAGCTGGGCAACGTTGAAGGTCAGCCTGGCAAATGTACTGCAAGCTGGAGGGACCTACAGCTGATCTAATTTACTTGGGGTGGGGTTGAAATGGATGCGGTGTGCACAGAATTCTCCTAAATATTTCTGATGCTAGACACTAGATCTTAGGCCCTAATGCAGGGATGAGTGAGCCTGTCTATATATCCTTAGTGGTCCACAGCCATTAGCCCCAGATTTGGGGGAGGGACCACACTTCCCAGGTTCCATTTGCAGCATCCTCAGGTATGGCCAGGGAGAAACCCCATCTGAAGTCACAGAGAACCACTGCCAATTAGTCAATCCTGAGCTTGATGGCCCAGTGGCCTGAGATGGAATGGGGCAGCTTCCAGTGCTCCTATAACATGACAACACGACATGCTTCAGCAGCCATATCAACTGTTTTGTGTACTTGTGAACATTTGCTGTGCTTCATTTAACCCGGCATTGTGCCCAGTGAGTTCAGGGGAGGGGGTGTCACATAACTCATTTTGGAGCTAGCAACCATGGAATTGCAGTTTCTTCTCCAAGTGGGGATGTGTGGTAATTGTTGGCATCTTGGAACAGGAACTTTGGGTCCAGGAGGAAGTCATCAGGCAGCCGTCACATGGTCACAGATCGCAACTGCAAACCAGAGGAATGTTTTAGGGCATTTTTGTGTTTGTGTTTTCAATGCCGCTCTATTCCCTTCTAAGAAAACCCTTCTTAACAAGAGCGGAATCAATTTTGAAAGCTTATTGAAATGCCAGGCAGCGACAGGAGTCTTTCCTGTTGCAGCAGTGGAGCTTGCAGCTTGGTAGAGGAGTGGGCTTTTTCTGCTCTTAAATTGTAAGGAGCAGCAAATCCCCTGTGATTGTCATCCTTGAAGCATCCCACAGTGTTGCTTGGTCTGGAGCTTTACACAGAAAGTAAAATGCACATGCAACAAAGGGAGTAGTGCTCCACCCACTGGTGCTTCTATATTTTGGGGTCTCTGTTTTCTAGTTTTTCATACAATGCCCCAGATGAGTGTTATGGGGAAAACAAAATGGCAGCTGCCGGTGGACCGACAGCTGCCAGAGCCATGTATCATTGTTTGGAGGAAAGATGACTTCAGTGCATAGGGCTTTCTGGGACACGGGGGCTGCAGGAGTGACCAGGGAATTCTGTGTGCTGGTGATGGGTATGCATTGTTTCTGCAAGAATGATCTTCTTCCAATAATCTTAGCAAACAATTTCATTTTTAAAAATCGGCTGACTTTTTTCTGAGTAAATTTCTTGATTACGGAGTATGTACCTAACTCTTTCCCTCTCCGCCCTCCCAATGCAGTTACAGATGTAGAACTGAAGCGGCTGAAAGATGCCTTCAAGAGGACCTGCGGACTCTCATATTACATGAGCCAGCAGTGCTTCGTTCGGGAAGTGCTTGGGGATGGAGTTCCTCCAAAAGTTGCCGAGGTAATTACTGATTTCCTTGAAGTGTTGGGGGGTTGTGGTTGAGTTGCATGCATTCAACTTGCTCTGGAAACGGTTGCTCAATATCTGTAGTCCTTTATAGCTTCACACCAACCAATATATCGGTCATAGTGTCTCTGCTAGTTAGTCACACTGATATGTATGCGTTTATAACATGCTGTGTTGCTGTTTTGTGAAAACTAGCAGTTGTAATCCTAGGGCCTGTACCAGCCTTCCCTTCGCCTGGTGTTCTTTATATGTTTTGATCTACAGCTCCTATTGTTTCTAGCTGTGGCTGATGGGAATTGTAGTCCAGAATGTCTCAAGATCAGTAACAGGTTGGAGAAGACTATAGACACCTGCTTTTGCTTGCTTCAGGCTGAAGACAGCTGCAGCACAGAACATCTGGAGGGCACACTAGGTTAGGGAAAGCTGCACTTTTATGTGCTGGACCATTCTGTCACACTTCCTGATCAAGCAGCAAGTCACAGGATGAAGGGGTGGGATGGTGCAGATAGGAGAGAAGGTTGGGTTCTCAATGGCTGGGGCCACCAGGGAGTAGGTTTATACCTCCACCACAGCAGACCCTTTGCTCAAGAAGTGAGAAGTGAGTGGATGCCCTTCACTGCTATGGAGAACAGTAGAGTTCTGTGGTGGCAAAATATTGGGTGGGAGGAAATACCCCTGCGCTGAAAGGTGACTGTGAAGGCAAAATCTGTGATTCATCCTTGCACTGAGTGACCAGACATTCACAGTCAGGAATTGGGATGTGTCTTTGTGCTCAGTGTGTAGAGATTAACTGCACTCCACCACTGGGTCCTTCTAGTATACAAGACCCCACAGGAAGCTGCCTTCTGCTGAGTCAGACCATTGGTTCATCTTGCTCAGTATTGTCAACAATGACTGGCAGTGGCTCTCCAGGGTTTTGGATAGGAGTCTCTCCATCTTTGTCTCTAGTCATAACAACCATTTCTTACCCTTATACTCCAGATGTCCAGGGCTGTCTTCAGCAACTTCATCATTTATCCATCTCTGTCATCCCGCCACCCACCCAAAAAGGGATCACAAATCTACACCTGATGTTTGTATGACTTGAGGTAGTAAAATAGGGCAAAAAACCCCACAGTAATTTCTACCTTCTGCTATTGTTTCTTGTTAACGTTACTCCCTTCTTTTCAAAATAAAGCTCTCCTAGTTCTGTGGCCACGAATATACATTTAAACGAAAAATTAAGGCGAGTGAGGAGGAGAATTGGGCAACTAATAAATTGAATTAATAGTAGTGGGGCCTGCAGCAAATTGTTGCAGGATGGAGTTCTGCTGATCAGGATTTCAGCCACTCTGTTCCATTTCCCCCTTGCGATAGTTCTCTGTTCCCCACAACTGCCAGTCAGCATTCCATGGTCACTGGGCATGCCCATTCTTGACTGGGTTGTTTTTTGGTTTCCTGCCCCCCTTCTGCAAATCTTGGGGTGTCCCCCCGCCAAAAAAACAAAACAAAAACCTTCTTGCTGACAACTTCCCTCTTGCGCGTGGGTGGTGCCATTTTGGCTGCGTTAATGACGACACTCAGTGCCTGAATGTCAGAAATAGAGGGGATCATAAACAGCTCTAGGGCTCTCCTCCCACACTTTTGGGAAAGGTATATTTGGTTCATAAATAACCTGCTGTGAAAAGGGAAGGGTGTCAGGGCTGATCCTAGTTGGGAAAACAGCAGCTGACGCAGATGGTGGTGGTGGCAGTTTTCCTCGCTGGCTGCTGCAGCTTCTCTAAGGAAATTACCGGAATCATTGAGTCTGATAGAATACTATGTTATTAGCTCCCCACCCCCCATCTAAAGATGCCCTGTGTGGCAAAGAATAAAGTGGGGTAGCAAGTTCTAGGCCTAGGGAGCAGCTTAGAACATGGAAATTGGTGGTTGAAATAAAATATCCCCAAAACATGAAGGCGAAAGTAAAGATGAACAACATGGAGGAGTTGAAGAATGAATTACTTAGAAAGTGATAAGCAAGGTTATAAACTGGATACAAAAAGGCAGTCGTGAAAGGTAATAGTAAAGGTGTAGCAGCCTCATAGTTCCAGTTGCAAACAGAGGAAATAAGTTGAGCACCTGAATAGAAAACTGGCCTAAAAAGCCTGAGATGAGACGCAAGTAAACCAACAAGAGTTGGAAGCATTATTGGGGAAGAGATGTTTTTGCATACCAAAGGCTCTGGTTTCAGTCCTTGGCATCTCCAGGGAGGGCTGGGAAACACTCCTGTCTGAAACCCTGGAGAGCTGCTGTCAATCAGTGACTGTTGACCCAGGGGTGGGGAGTCTCTGACCCACCAAGCAATGCTAAGACTCCAAATTCTGATCAGCCCCAGCCGACATAGCTGGCGCTCAGGGATGCCGGGAGTTGCAATCCAACAGCATCAGGAGGGCCAACAAGTTCCTCCATCCCTGCTGTTGACAGTACAGTGGTGCCTCGCAAGACGAAAAGAATCCGTTCTGCGATTCTCTTCGTCTAGCGTTTTTTTTGTCTTGCGAAGCAACCCTATTAGCGGCTAAGCGGATTAGCGCTATTAGCGGCTTAGCGGCTATTAAATTAAAGGATTAGCGGCTAAGCTGCTAAAAGGCTGTTAGCGGTTTAGCAGCTTAGAAAAAGGGGGGAAGTGGGAAAAAATCGCAATAACGAAGCTCCGATGTCCGGCGGGGGGGGACGTCTCCTCCCTCCAACGGACATCGGAACGAAGCTCCGATGTCCGGCGGGGGGGGGGACGTCTCCTCCCTCCAACGGACATCGGAACGAAGCTCCGATGTCCGGCGGGGGGGGGGAACGTCTCCTCCCTCCAACGGACATCGGAACGAAGCTCCGATGTCCGGCGGGGGGGGGGAACGTCTCCTCCCTCCAACGGACATCGGAACGAAGCTCCGATGTCCGGCGGGGGGGGGGGAACGTCTCCTCCCTTCAACGGACATCGGAACGAAGCTCCGATGTCCGGCGGGGGGGGGGAACGTCTCCTCCCTCCAACGGACATCGGAACGAAGCTCCGATGTCCGGCGGGGGGGGGACGTCTCCTCCCTCCAACGGACATCGGAACGAAGCTCCGATGTCCGGCGGGGGGGGGGGACGTCTCCTCCCCCCAACGGACATCGGAACGAAGCTCCAATGCCGGGCGGGGGGGGGAACGCCCAAGACGTTTCATCTTGCGAAGCAAGCCCATAGGGAAAATCGTCTTGCGAAGCAACTCAGAAATGGAAAACCCTTTCGTCTAGCGGGTTTTCCGTCTTGCGAGGCATTCGGCTTGCGGGGCACCACTGTACTTAGAATCGTAGAATTGTAGAGTTGGGATCCTGAGGGTCCTCTTGTCCAACCTCCTGCAACACAGGACTCTCTTGCCCAACGTGGGGCTCAAACCTGTGACCCTGAAATTCAGAGTCTAATGCTTTACCGACGATCCCAGCTTGGTTAGATCGTTTGTGTTCCTAAGAAAATATAATTGAAGCAGGAGGCAATGAGACTGTGGCAGAAGATGCAGAGGCAAAATGGATCAGAAGTAATTGACAGGCAGGAGCTGTTTTATCACAGAAAGGTAGTGCAAAAACCAGAGGCAGTGATGGAGACCATTAAGACGGAAGGCAGACTTAGCAAAGAGTTGAGTGCAGACAATGAGGAGAGGAATAAGAGGAAATTAATGGGGGGGAAATAAGATTAGTCCAAGAGGGAGTGAATAAAAGCAGGCACTTTCAACAAAGAACATCAGATGCAGATCAGTGCTGCAGTTGTTCAGTGGCATGAGCAGCCTTCCTTCTGTTCTATATCCACACTATTCCTTTCGAGGGGAGCAGATACAGTGCTTTCAAAAACACTGCCATGAGAGAGATCGCCTAGAAGTGACACTCCTGTGCCTTTTAACAGGTAGAAATGTAGCAGGCGAAGTCTTTCTCATCAGTAGCCGTTCATTTTCTAATTATCACAAGGTCCTTAAGTACACAGGAACTCCACCAGAGAAAATAAGTGAAGTGGGGCGGTGGCAGGAGTGAGCCAGCAGTAAAATACACTGAGCTGGTTGCTATTAACTCTTTATTAGCCAAACTAGGACCCGCACGATCACTGCAGATGGTGACAGCAGTCACGAAATTAAAAGACGCCTGCTCCTTGGGAGAAAGGCGATGGCAAACCTAGACAGCATCTTAAAAAGCAGAGACATCACCTTACCAACAAAGGTCCGTATAGTTAAAGCCATGGTTTTCCCAGTAGTGATGTATGGAAGTGAGAGCTGGACCATAAAGAAGGCTGATCACTGAAGAATTGATGCTTTTGAATTATGGTGCTGGAGGAGACTCTTGAGAGTCCCATGGACTGCAAGAAGATCCAACCTCTCCATTCGGAAGGAAATCAGCCCTGAGTGCTCACTGGAAAGACAGATCCTGAAGCTGAGGCTCCAAGACTTTGGCCACCTCATGAGAAGAGAAGACTCCCTGGAAAAGACCCTGATGCTGGGAAAGATGGAGGGCACAAGGAGAAGGGGACGACAGAGGCCGAGATGGTTGGACAGTGTTCTCGAAGCTACAAACATGAGTCTGACCAAACTGCGGGAGGCAGTGGAAGACAGGAGTGCCTGGTGTGCTCTGGTCCATGGGGTCACGAAGAGTCGGACACGACTAAACGACTAAACAACAACAGGACCTGCACAGGAGTGCTAGGTCCAACAAGCACTCATCTCTGGTAGGTCTTGCCCCTGAGAAGCAGTTGCTGAGACCGAAGGTCCCCACCTCCTTGCAGCTGCCTAAGTCCCCTCTTCCAGAATTTTCCCCCAAGCAATCTGAGACTGCACCTGTGTGAAGCTAACTTCTCCTCTGCCCTCTTCATGTGTCTCCTGGTTCTGGACATCAGAACCAAGCTCCATTGCAGCTTTCCAGTTTGTGTTACTCAGGGAGTTAGAATGATCAAGCAGCATGCACCAGCACACTTCATGCAACTCATTCCCAGTAAACCATAAGGCAGATATCCCAGCTTTA